CTTATGTAATATTCTTAAAGCTCATCATAAAATCAATCAACTATAGTGCATTCGAGAGTAGACACTTTGCTCTATCTAATGAGTTATAAATCACAAAATCGATAAATTTGACCAAAATTGATTTTTTTGAGGGGCCTTAAAGAATTTTTCCTGTTTCCTTTTTTGATAATAAACCATTTTCCCACACTTAGAAAACTGATTAAACAAATTATGAGACCGTATACTAGGAAAACGTATAATACATGATTCGATACATCTTTATCTCCTCTTTCGAACGATGAAAACAGCAGGTCTCTATCTTGTTTCTATTAAAAATTATTCAAAAAATATCACATACGTAATAGTATTACCGGGCTCGTATTATAGCGAAACAAAGCTTATCGAAAGTTTATTGTTATAATATTAGTTGAAGTATGATCAAATAGCATAGAAATATAGAGCCTTCTTTTCTCTATCAGAATATATAGAAAGAAAGTTTCTTAAAGCTTACTATACGGTATTTAGGTGCCACTGGCACTACTTTTGGTATACCCTAAGTAATTTGTCTATTATATTAATATTTTTAGTCGTGAGGAGATCAACCTCACCTCAAAACAATCGGTTTTAATATGCTACAGTGTATTATGTCAGATAGTACTACACTCTTTTCTATTGGTTCAATCTTCTAGCTGATGTTTATTTTGGTCGCTTAATCTTTAAAGAAATAATCAAACTGAAAAGCTGTTAGCTCAATCCCTTGCGGGATTAAAAATGTGAAACACGATGTAGCTGCTGTTGCCAATTTTCTAAAAACAATTGCTTTTTATGCATATTGGGGTGCATTTCTTCACCATGGCTTACTTTACATTATAGAGCTTCAACATGATAATACTCTATCTATGCTCCAATCATATGTTAGTTATGCATTATCTCTGATATTTCCTTGAAGTCTTCTATCACAGTGTATGATGACTGCTGGATCCTGTCTGTCACGGTCTGTGATGGGTCACGTGAGTGTGTGTGTGGGGGGGGGGGGGGACAAATTTCTACCCCTAAACACTTCAAAACTTCTTTCAGGTCGTGTTTTACAAAACTATAAGCGACAACAACCGATATGGTTGATACAGACGGCTTGACTGTGCTCACATGAATAGGAGATACGATTTCTACCGAAATCTAACTCTTTTTTAGAGTTTAAAAATACTCATGTGCTCAGATATAAATAATTCAAGTAGAAGAATCGTAGTAAACAGACGGTTTTCGAGCACTTTGAACAACATCATAGGTGAATACTATTGTATTTGTTGCTGATAATCGTTGGGAAGTCATGTTTATATGCACTCATGTGATTCAAACTGGACAAAAACTATCGATTTACTGATAATCAACTGATGGTAGTTTGATACTTAAAGGGTCAACTATCTTCTGGATGCTGCTTGTCGTTCTGCGACCAACAATCTAGTACCAGTATACCGACGGTATTGCGAACAAGCGTGCAGCCTGGGTATCGATTATATCATCAACATATAGTTCTGCCTTCATTTTGATAGAAATATTTCTTCATGAATCTAGATTACACAGGATGAGGCAGAAGTTTTGCGACATTTTGAAGTCTCTTTGCTATTTGTTTGTTGAGATAATCAATTTATTATATATATAGTATTAGTGTGTGTTGGTGTTCTCTATCAGTCTGGAAGGGTGATCATTCCTTCCTTTTCTTTTTTGCTGATTATAATATAATTAAAAGTCATAATCTACGAGATTTGACCATTTCACACTAAGAAAATGGTTAAAAAAATCTCCAGAAATTGTAAATCTATAGGTAGAAATAGTTCATCAAAGTACAATTGATCGTTGGCTATTTGGATATAAACAATCTGGTTCAATGAATTTTAAACCAAAATCAGGAAGATCAAGAACTAGTCATACAAAAACACTCATGAATATGGTGATAAAAGGCTTGATTCCAATATTCTTCGAAAAAATTTGCGAACAATCACCAAGAACTTTAAAAGTAGTATTTGAACCATCAACGGATACTCATTGTTGATTTAAATTAAAAATGTTATCAAAACATTAATGTTCAAACATTAACAGAAGACTGATAAGCAATAAGAAAAACATGTTCTCAATAGATCAGGAAGAACAGTATCCGTAGTAAAATGGAAAACATGGTGTTCACTGATGAAAAATTATTTACAAATAGTTATTTCAATCCAAGAAAAGATGTTGTGTGAAGTAATAATCGACCTGATGCCAATCAATATGGTGGATTACATGCAGTAGAAATTTATCTGGTGTGTATCATGGTATGAACCAGAGGTCCAAACAGACCACAAGGCCTGTTGGCTTCCATGACTGTCGCAGGCACAGGTAACGATTTTGAGGCCTGATGTGTGACAGGCAGACCAGGTCAAAGAAATTAGGCGACGGGTGCAGACAAACAAGAAGGATGTAAGCCTACACAGGTAGGACAGATCTCAAAGGTAGACCTGTTTGAACCTCTAGTATGAACTTATACATACGTTTTTCAAAACAACAAACGGTTGAGTAGCCAAAGCTATTGTGTTCAATTATTACCATTTGGCAAAAAAGTGGGTGATGGACTATTTAGGTATAAGAAATAGGGGCTTTCAACAGGATGAAGCTAGATGATGTACTGATTAAAAAATTCAAGATTAGTGCAGAAAGAGCTTCAAATTTTTCGTTCCGAAAGAAAACGGTCACCCAATTCTCGAGAACTTAACCCAATGGGATTATTCCACTTGGGACAGGGAGGAGAATTGGTGGAATGGCCACGTGCTCGTTACTCGAGGAACGGTATAATGTTCCAGCCTTCCCTTCCACAGCGCCATGTTTATGTAACTCAGTTCTGTTCTACACGTCTCAAATTATTCGTTCGTCCATGTTCTATGCATTCTGCTGGCATACCAAGCTGATTTGACTATGCAAACCGTCGTTCATGGTTGATGTTATCTTTGCTCATAGTTTTGTATACTTTATCTTTGTGCTTCGTGTTAATTGCTTTTCATTCTTGATAAGTTATTTGTAATCAGCACTATGTCTCTTTAGACTCTATCATGGGCAGAGTGTTAAATAAACCGCAAATATTTCATATGGGATGATATATCAAACCATGTGCAATAGCATAAAGTCAGCACAATCAACGATTTGCATCGAGAAAGCAATGAAGAAAATGAAAGTTACTTATATATGAGAAGTAATTGGTACTTTGTTTCAAAGACTGTATTCAGCAGAAAAATATCATGATGAATTGATTATTAATGATCACAGTGAATTCCAGTAGCGGTCTATTATCGTTTTTTAAACATTGTATTGTTATTTAATTACTTGGTTTTCTCTTGAAATAAATTGATTCTTTTGAAATATCGCATAACTTTGTCCTGCCTAATATTTAATACTACGATTTACTAAAAAAGAAACAAAATCAAAGATACAAAATTTCAATCAATGTACAAAGCAGTTGACACGCAATACTCTATGAGAACATTAATTGTGTGATAAATCAGTATCTTCAACAAATCAATCTTATAAATATTCGCGAGTTTTTGCTGAACATTTCATATAAGCATCTTCAACTTTACTTTTAACCTGTTTTTTTACATTCTTACTTTAATATTGCAATTATTGGTATAAACGTTCTTCAATCTTTTTACATGCTACTAGCATCACGGAATATCCATCACAATAGCGTCAAATTACTAGATACCAAATTTTAAATAGCACATGTGACTAATAGTTGACAATGAACATGGAAACAAGCTCTCCAACTGATCCACGTTATTTTCAAAAATATGTCATCCGCATAATGTGGGATAATATTCTAAGGAGAAAACTAAGAGGATCTGGGCTGATGGGGCTTCCATCGAAGGTTATAATCCTTTTACTAATTTTTCCATCTAGCACAAGGTATACAGGAAAAAATGGAACAAAGGAATTTCAATCTGAACTTTCGCTCATATGTAGCTCTTTTGGTCATTAGAACACTCTAAACATTTCTGCGTAAAAAAAAACTGTTTTCTTCTGGAGATATTAATTCTTAAAAGCTTGTCTTATAATCTATAAAGTGGTGAAAGATTGACTTTATTTAAATAGAGCATCTTCAGATGGAAACATTTTTTTACGCAGAAACTTTTAGAGTGTTCTAATGATCACAATAGCTACACATGAGCAAAATTCCAGACTAAAATTCTGTTGTTCAATTTTTGCCTCTATACTTTCTGTTAGGTGGAAAAATCAGTAAAATGATCATAACCTTCGAAGAAAGCCTCATCAGTCCAGATCCTCTTAGGATTTTTCTTAGAATAATATTACAGACATGTGGATCAGTTGGAAACCTTACGTCGTTAGTATTTTTCATAAATACAAAATTAGAAGAAGTTTTATCTGTTATCTACAATATTTACAATTTTAATTAGATAAAGAGGAGAAAGTGCAGAGATTTTACTGCTAAAATTTTCTAAAACTTTTGAAATATATTCAGTCTACGGAAGATTCACAAGTGGATAGCATGATTTGAATATTAAATAAGATATTTTAAGAACAAGATGTAGCAAAAAAATACATCATATAAAGATACCTTAATTATCAATTTGTCAGACACACGCCAAGGCACGTTTGACCTAAAAAAGTGTCATAGTTAGTAACTGAATGCTTTTTAAATGAATTTTCTAATTTCTGTTGTAAAATACTCGTTCGATCGAATATGAATATTATAAAGAATTCAAATGCTTTTTCTTTGTTTTCATCATTTGTAACATTTTATCATCTACAGTAAAGTTATTTCATTTATATATCTCTCAATTATTTTTTTCAAATATATATGACTAATAAACAAAACAAAGAAACAAATGATTCATTAAAAAGCAAAAGTCATGTTACTTTTACGTAGAGTAGAAAAAAAGAAAAGTGGAATTCTTTAGATAACACTCATTGTACACATCAAAGTATGATAAGAATAAGTCTTTCACTTACTCACATGACTCACAAAAGTAACGATTCATTCGAAACCTTCTTTTCAATTCATGTTTGTTGTTATAATAGAATTAATTATTGAGTCTAAAAAATATATTAGCTGAATTATTAGGACTCAAAAATTATACGAAAAGATTATACAAAAAAAAATTTAAAAGATACTAAAAATGTTTTCGAGAAATTTTCGAATCAATATTTAGTAACATGTATATTTAGAAGTCTTTGCAGAACATGTCTGGTAACTATTCATTGACTTTGAAGTGATTGTAGACAGTTAAAAGTAAGTAGTTAGATTTAGAGTTTGGACATTTTATTCTAACTTTAGGCTGAGAAGTATTTCTAATTTAATTTTAGTTCATTGAGAGCAAAGTTTTAACGGAAACCAAGAAGGAAGTGTTTACAGAACTTTGACATGAAATTCAATTTTGTATTTTGATCGAAATTGCCTCTATCTAATCTAGAGAAAATTCTTTTTATACATCAGTTTGTTGAGTCAGGCTTGTTCAAGAAAATACACAATTCGCTTATCTTTTTACACATTGCTAGAAATGATCGAAATCTATTGCATTTAAAATGCTGACAATCGAAACAAATATTTTTTTTTTTGTTTTGATGAGAAAAATTATGCCTTACTTAAAGAGTAATTAGTTGAAAAATATTTCTAGTTTACTGTAATTTATGACTTGATAGAAATTTAAATACTCCTAAAATCTCACCCAGAGAAGTTATAAATGCCAAAAAAAAGAAGCCTATTTTACTTATTGCAAACAACATTTTTTGATTAATTGAGATATTTTTTGAAATACAAATCAACCGTACGTCAGATAAAATATCTGAACATACATTTACTAAAGACATCAAAATCTGATTGTAACTGACTGCTGTTAATACTCTTCGATGATTTATCAGTATTCAAAAATGATTAAACAGATTTGCCAACACCTTGTTTACTAAGGCTTTTGTATAAACATCTTTTCAGATGTGTATTAACGGTTTACTATTGATGAACCAATATTTAAGCTACAGAAGAATTCTAAATCTTTACTTGGCACAAGCATGAAATTCCCATTATTATTGATTCTTTCCAATGACTTATAAATGAACGATAATTGATTAGACGAGTTCTGTGAAAAGTCTTCACACATGAGTTAATATCAAAACGAGAATCTTAAAACATTCTATCTCTAAAAATGTAGTACCATTAGGAATAATAATCGCTTTTATCATATCTACATGAATTAAGACAAAACAAAGAATATGAGTGTTTTGGTGTTTTGAAAAAAAACGAAAAAAAAAATATCATTACATAGAAAGTTCAATATTATAATTAATTGATTAGAAAAAAAAATGCAAACAATATAAAAAATTTCATTTAATACAAAACACAAGTTCGATGTGATTTTCTACGAGAACGATTTTTAAGTGATAAACGAGCAGCTTGAATAAATAAATCTTGTACACCTTCACGAGTTTTAGCTGAACATTCCATATAAACATCAGCTTTGATTTCTGTTGCTAGACGTTTTCCAGTTTCATTTGTCACCGGTTTTTCACCTTCTTGTTTTAATTTTGCAATTATTTGTGAATCTGTTCTCAGATCTTTTTTACATGCTACTAATACTATAGGACATTGACCACAAAAATGTCGAATTTCTGGTGTCCATATATCAATAACATTTCTAGCTGATATTGGACTGATAACGTTGAAACATATAATAACAACATGTGCGTTCGGATAGGATAATTGACGACAAAGGCTATAATCTTCTAGACCAGCTGTGTCAAGCAGAGTTAAATCAATCTATAAGTAAAGAAGATTTTTATTATTTGACAGCAAAAAAGACTTTCTATTGTCATACTGTTTGTCCATCGACTTGAATATCAGTTGCGTATGTCTTAGAAATGGTAGCATTACAAGTTTGAATAAATTGATTATCTTTAAAAGCAAGTAAAAGAGATGTTTTACCGCACATACTATCGCCAACAATAACTAATTTTCTACAGTCTTGAATAAATCGATTTTTAGAAGTAATCATCTTGAAATAGTGAACAAAATTTTTTCCATATTATTAATAAAGTTAATAATATTTTATTTGATTTTGCTAAATGTATTTTTTTTTTCGTTGAGAAATGAAACTCGAACAGATATATTATCCAGTTTTTTCTCTCGTATTTATGCGGTTGAAATTTACTTTTATAACTATATGTTATCAAAACAGAAAGGAAACAAATGCGTTACCCAGACTTTAATGTTGTGACTTTTACATTGAGACAAGAACCGTTTAAGAAATTTATTTGATAAAGGTTTCTTTCCAACTATTATGAAAGATAAAAGTAAGTTTCTTTTTTGACTCATTTATGTAGCTCAAATAATCAATGATTAATTCAGAATTTTTTCTTCATATTTAATACATATTATTTTCCTAGAAGTGTATGAAACACATATGTAAAAACAAAAGAAAGTAAAATCAAACACAATCTGAATATTATGGAAATCATCATATTAGTTCGAAAAAATAATTAAACATTAATCAACAGTTTTTTGTTTTGTCAAAAACTTTTTTTATTTCGCTGTCTATTAATTGAATAATATCAAGTCATATTGGTTTAATCTTTTTTTTTTGTTTAATTCAGTTTAAATAATACTAATTACAAATAGTTTTATTCTTAACATTTACTCTTCTCTAAACAATATATACAAAGCAAATAGTTAAAAAATGAATCATCATATATTTAAACGATAAAGATTTTGTCAGATTTATGTGAAAAAGAAGAGAATATATAGTATCACCAGTATTGTTCATGATACTTTCAGAAATATGTAAACAGTTGAATAGTTTGTATACACAATCAATTAGAAGAAATAATGAACAATATAAAAAATTTCATTTAATACAAAACACAAGTTCGATGTGATTTTCTACGAGAACGATTTTTAAGTGATAAACGAGCAGCTTGAATAAATAAATCTTGTACACCTTCACGAGTTTTAGCTGAACATTCCATATAAGCATCAGCTTTGATTTCTGTTGCTAGACGTTTTCCAGTCTCACTTGTCACCGGTTTTTCACCTTCTTGTTTTAATTTTGCAATTATTTGTGAATCTGTTCTCAGATCTTTTTTACATGCTACTAATATTATAGGACATTGACCACAAAAATGTCGAATTTCTGGTACCCATTTTTCTATAACACTTGTAGCTGATACTGGACTATCAACACTGAAACATATAAGAACAACATTTGTATCAGGATATGATAATGGACGAAGACGATCATAATCTTCTTGACCAGCTGTATCAAAAAGAGCTAAATCAATCTATAAAAAGTATTATTATGATTTGTAAAAAAGAAATTGACATTTTGTTGATTTACTATTTGTCCATCGACTTGAATATCAGCTACATATGTATCAAAAATAGTTGCATCATGGGTTGGAATAAATCTATCATCTTTAAAAGCAAACAATAGACATGTTTTACCACACATACCATCACCAACAATAACTAATTTTCTATGTTTTCGAATACTTCGATTCATAGTATTACTTGTCATCTAGAAACGAATAAGATTTATGTTTTGTTTTTTTTTTTTCTATCGTTATTTTATATTATATATACATTCAGTGTAATAAATGGCATCGCGAACTAAAAGGTAAAAAGAAAAAAAAAACGACTTACACAAGTCGCTATGTGTATGTGTGACTATAAAAGAACGTCATTTTTCTTTGATAACATGATCAGAATAAAGAAAAGAAACGAACGAAAAAGAAAAAAAAAACTTACAATTACATTCATTTGACTCATTTTTTTTCTTTCCCCCTTCATCAAATATATGAATCGAGAAGACAGTTGTGATTTAGTGAGAAATACTCTGCTTGTCTTAAACATGTATATTTGTCTATATGTATATATATGTAAGAAAAAAATGAAGTACGATATATGTATTATACTTTTAAAAAATTATTCATATACCTTGAAGAAGAATAGTTTCTTTGCTGAACAAACGAAAACAGCCATTATTTCGTTCTTTTTTTCTTCAAAAAAAGAATAAAATTATAAAGGTACGATGAATGGATATTTTTTTTTTCTTTAATAATCAATAAAAATGAATGTTAAAATATGGTTTTACATAAAGAAAAGTAGTCAAACAAATCATGCTACGAAATTTTTAATTCATGTTAAATTCAATTTCTTTCTTTGTCTATTGATTAACATAAATTATTATAATAAAATAAAAATTATAGTATCCTAAGATTAATCAATGAAATAGAAAAAATTTTCATATATCAATTATCAATACAAATTGTTTTGAATTATTATTGCTTGACATGAAAAGAAGAATAAATAAGGAACAAAAAAATTTATTATAATCCGAAAATCTTTCGAAGATTCTTGTAAAACATAAAATTGATCCTGAGAGCCCTGGAATAATTTTCAAAATTTATTATTCTTACAATCAGCAAAAACACATTTTTTACAACGTTGGCAGATCATGATATCTATTTACTCGTGTGATAACTATCAAGAAGCGACAGCCGGTTTTTTTTTTCTTTTTGAAACTATTGTATAATGGTGCATTGTATCGAAATGAATGAATATTTTTGAGGTCTATTAAAACTGAGAGCAATGAGTCGATTTCGATGCATTTTTGATAATAATAATACATTTGACGAGGGAATATATCCAGCTGCTAATCGTCGATCGAAGTGATATTTTACTCATAGTTGAGCTTCTGTGAAACTAGAGAAAGTATGATAGAGCTCCTTTCCATGGATGTTAGTTTTTTTATTAGTTATGATCGTTTTATCGAATTTTCGGCTTATGGTAAGGTATTCACAGAAAAAAATAAAAAAACGAGATCTTTCACCTGAACTATTGCTAATAAATATATCTCTTGATCCTTAGAATATTCTTAAAGTTTCAATCAAATCAGATAGGCTTTTCTCAATATATTGAATACTGAATAAAAGTTGGCTTGATAATCTTGTTTTTGTACGTAGGGTAGTCCAAAAGTAGTGGCGGAGGTACTTTATTTTCTTACAGAAAGCTTTAAAAAAATTTCTTTTTTTATGAACAGATAGAGCGTCTTTCACTCTATTTTTCTATGCTATTTGATCACTATTCAACTGGTATCATAATAATAAAATTTCGATAAGATCTGTTTTCTTCGCATCTGTGCTGGTAGCATGAATGCTCGTGAGTATTTTCTGAATAAAGTTTGATAGAAACAAGGTAGAGAACTGCGGTTTTCATTATTGGAAAGAAGAGATGAAGATGCATCGAACCATGTATTATTGATTTTTCTAACTTGTTTTTTATAAGATTTTCAGTTGACCTTTTAAAGAACAAACCTATCCTGTGAATTGTTTACAGTGAATTTTCAATAATAAGGTTCTCATTCAAACCGCTAATTGCCGATATACAAAGTGCGAAAGGCTCAGATGTTTAAGTTCAACTATTTTGAGATAATACGTATTCCAGACGGACGTCTACTACGATTTTTTTTCTTTTTTTCATAAAACAGCATTTTCCCTACGGTTAGAGAATTGAATGAAAAAACTTCAAAAATAATATTAGGAAAATCAGCAATATATGGTTCGATGCGCCGTCATCTCCTCTTTCCAACGGTGAAAACCGCAGTTCTCTATCCTGTTTCTATCAAACTTGATTCAGAAAATATTCACGAGCATTCATGCTACCAGCACATATGCGAAGAAAACAGATCTTATCGAAATTTTATTATTATGATACCAGTTGAATAGTGATCAAATAGCATAGAAAAATAGAGCGAAAGACGCTCTATCTGTTCATAAAAAAAGAAATTTTTTTCAAGCTTTTTGTAAGAAAATAAAGTATCTCCACCACTACTTTTGGACTGCCCTAAGTAGGATACGGTTGTTTGTTTTTGAATATTCAATATTTCGAGAAAGAATCGTTCATTTCGATTAAAACTTTTAGCATTTGATCAGAATTATGAAACCCATTTATGGGCAAGATTCAAGATAAAAAATACTCAATTTTGATTTTTTCTCTGAATATCTTTCCATAAGCCGAAAACCCAATAAAACGATCATAAGTCCATGAGGTACATTTATAAGGAGAAAATCCTTTTAGACAGTTTCTTTTCTCATTGAATCCTGCTTATAGGCAAAATATTACTTCGATTGGAAGTTGGACACATTTTCTCATGAGTCGTCTATATATACAATTCACGGAGCCAAAATTGGTTCTAGTTATGGGATGAATTTTTTGTTATAGATGACGCCACACAAAATGTTTTTTTGTAAAATATGTTTTAAAATTGTTTTCTTAGTTTCTAATGAGTAAATCGAATTTGGCCAGAAAACAATTTCTGCAATCGTTTATAACTGAAACCGAAAGTTGTAAGTACTGACGTCAGTTGTTATGGATGCCGCGATATGTCAATGGTAGGGTAGACATACATCAAACAAATAAAGTCAGTTGCAAAATTTTTATTCGTCTATTGCTAACACAAAAAAAAAAGAAATCATGAAGAGATTTTGTAACTAATTGTTAAATAATAAGAGAATTATATAGGGACGCGAAAGAAAACATTTATATGTAAATATTTTCAACATTTCAGCCGATTTCCTGAGGTATTCATATTGTCTGATATGTATATTATCAAATTCCAACTAATCCGTAAGAAAATATTCAGCTTGCTCTATTAGTCTATTGTACGTAGAAAGATACTATTTCTTCAGAATTTTATTGATTTGAATCAGCTATTATCCGGCGAGGTAATCGTCTAGTACACATTTCATGTCTATTTGGATTCAAGTACGTCATCAGAAGTAAGCAGGTATCGAACAAAATGATGCTAATAAATAAATATATAGTAATAAAGAGAATTTTCTTGAAAAAGAATTCAAGTTGCAACATTATGCCATAGAAATAAGTTAAGACCAGAAAAGAACATATAAATATATGTCAATGAGTGGATGTTCGTGTATTTGATTACCACGAAAATCAATTATGAATTTTAATACTACTGATATTTTAGTTATCATTCAT